CAGTGGAAAAGTAAGCACCTCCCTTTCCAGTTAGCTCCAGTTATTATAACTATAGAAGGGAGAATAGATGCAAGCAGAACAGCAGGGGCCCACAACAGAGGCCCCCTCAGAAAGTCTCAAAAATCTACGTAAAGATGAAAAAATGGCACATGGGTTTCAGGGTAAGTCAATTTTTAGTGTCACCAAACTATGTCCATAATTTCTCACGTCCAGGCCTTAGATGAGTCTCCTATGGTAATGCCTCCTGCTTGTCAAAATCTTTTTTATGAAAAGATAGGTCATAGGCTAATAAACATTTTTCTTCTATTTGGATGATGGTTTATTAGTATCTATTCACAATGACTTATTCTCTCTTTGTATAGCTTTCACTTCACTTATGAATCTATCAAATCACATTATAAGTAAAAATAATTTATCATTTTTATCTGACAAATTTACTAGGATTTGTAATCTTTATTCCATGATAAGAGAGGCATTTTCAATCAGCAAACAATAGCTTATTAGATAAATGTTGCTGGGACATTTGGTAAATGATTTAAGGAAAACAATAATAAATACTATAAATATAGATCCCAACCTCATACCTAACTAAAAGTTTTAAGGACTCAACTGTAAAAAAAAAAAAAAAAAAAATGAAGCCAAAAAGAAATAGGAGAAGATAGAAAATTATATGTTCTCGGGGTAGGAAAGGCCTTTCTAAACATAACCTAAGTGATAGAAATTATATTTTTTTAAAAAAGAATTTACTCATTGATTTAGAGAAAAAGAGTAGGTACTATATATCAAAAAATTTAACTTTACTTATGACAAAAAATGAAATGGACAAAATATGTCTAAGATAAATATAATCAATTGAGATTTTTTATTTATCAGATTTATAAGAGAATTCATTCTTCCTACCTCAACCCCCAAAAAATAGCTGCCAAAAGAGAAGATGAGCTATTCCTGTGAGAAGAACCTGGCAGAGTGTGTCACAGGCCAGGAGTGCAAGGCCTGAGCAATTTTTAAAGCTCCAAGAAGATGACTGTGATCATGAGGAAAGAACAGGAGGAGAGAGGGGAATATTTTTAATAATTACTACAGTGAAAATCTTTGGAAAGAGGCAGAAGTATCTAAAAGGAATTAGAAAGCTTTTGGTTTAATATGCATCGAAAACCCTGCCACTGATCCTTAAAGAAATTTTACAGTAAAGTACTATATTTTCTTCAAAGGTATTGGAGATTTTTAAGGTTTTATTGGTTATGGCATAGTTTGGTTTTTGTTTGGTTTGGTTTGGTTTGGTTTTACTTTGGTATGTACAAGCAGAGGCAAGAGCCAAAGCTGCCAAATTATTATATTCAGTTTGTCCATGTAAAAGGCAAAAAGAGTAAGATCCTTAATAAAATGGTTTTACACACAAATAAGAAAAAGTGAATGCTATTTTAAAAACAGGCAAAGAATTTGAATAGATAACACAATTAAAATAAAAAATAATTATAAAGATTAAGAAAGTGACCTCACTAACACTTGAAGACATACAGAATTAAAACAAAATATTTTCAAGAGGGCAACCCCCCCTTTTTTTTTCCAAAAAATTCCTCCATACAAGAAGGATAAGAAATACAAACTCCATGGTCAAGAAAGCCAGGCAACATGCATAATTCCAGAGCATCATATATAAAATCAGAAAGCGAATGGATGACTGATGGAGAGGATGAGGGTCAAAGCAAAAGGGGAAGATGCAGAGACAAGTGATTCTGTTTACCATATAGCCAATAGGACCTAGACATTTTTTAGATATAAGCAATGGTATGCTATAAATGTTGAACTAGTTCTTCAGAAAAAAACTCTGTATGTGTGTTATACATACATGTTATAAATTTTATTTATATACAGAATGTGTAACATAATATACGAGTAATAAAGTATACAGTACTTTTATTGAAAATCCAGTATAGCCAATTGATTTTTACATCTGTAGCTAACCTGCGATTGCGATTAATGAAAGAGTACAGTTCCAACTTGAATGTTGATTGGTATTTTCACTTAGGTTAATAAGATGAATGTGAAACAATAAAGATGTGTCAGAACTGCACTCACCAATGATTGAGTGACTACTTTGCTGAGTTGTATAGTAGTTTTCAAATACTGGGAAAATATTTCCTGAATGTTTCATGCTATTAGCAATATAATGACTACAGAAATGACACACTTTTAAGTTCAATCTGCATTATCAGCATTTTCTCCATCACTTGCTTAAATCTAATAATCAACAAAATAATAAATCAAGCTCGAATTTGCAGTTCTTGTCAATTTCCATGAGATAAATACTCCCATTATTCCCAAGTTCAATCTACCATAATGAGGTCACTGAATACAGAGTTGAAAAGAGATACCAATAGCACACTATTATATATCTTTCCATCATTTATAGCATTTTTCATTACAATTTTATATGTATTTTACTTACATTCACTTAGAGATTATCCATCTCTGCAAATCTATAAGAGCATGAATTTTTGTTTTTTCTCTGTTGGGTTCCTAAACCCTAGAACAGAGGTTGACCCATGATAGGCATTCAATAAATATTCATTGAATGAAAAATGAAATGTTGAACTTACTACATGCCAGGTATTATTCTAAGTGTTTTTTGTATGTTAAGTCTTAAGTCCTCACCACAACCCTATTATGTGGCGCTATTTTTATCTCCACGTTACACATGAAACCAGAAAATGACTTACCCAAGTCACCCAGCAAGTAGTGGTGGAGTCAGGATTTAAACCCAGGCACGCTGGCTCCAGAGCTTGCACTTCTATCACAGTGCATTTTCTTAAAATATCAGAGCCATGATGCTAGCAAAGAGAAATACCAGGAAGACAGCTGCATGACAGACCTTAAACGCAACCAGGTCAGATTAGAGCAAGCAGACAGTTACAATATATTGAAACTGACCAATTATCTGAAAGGTTTCATTTAGTATAAAATGTTTAAAGGCACAGTGATTAATAATTGTGGGAAGTAAGAGTTCCAAAGAAAATTCTTCGCATATGACAAAATGAGGCAGTTATTAGCTCCAGGAAAACAGTAAGTTGAATGAGAAAGAAAATGTAATTATACTATACCACTTGACTCAGCAAAGAACAATATTTACGTAGTCATGATAATGAAAGCAATGAATATGGATTTAATTTTACAAAATCATGTTCTTGCTATACTGGAAAGGGAAAGGGAAGAGAGCAAAAACCAATCTACCAAATGGAACATCAATAATCTTTCAAAAAATTATGAATCGAGCATTAGCTATGTATAAATAAATATATGTGAATTTTTTATTTGCATATTCTACACATTGTTTAACAATTCTTAAGGTTTACATTGTTTAACAATTCTTAAGGAAAAATAATTTCTCTTATTATTTTTCGGAGTGGGAATTCAATTTAAAGTATTTATCTATCTCAAGAAAAGGAACATTTATCAGCATCACTAATCAGGGAAATGCAAATCAAAAGCACATGAAATATTACCTCACACCTGTTAAAATAGCTTTTATAAAAAAGACACGAGGTAGCAAATGCCAGGCAGTGGAGAAAGGGGAAGAGATATATACTGTTAGTGGGAAAGTAAAGGTGCAGCCACTAGGAAAAACAGTATGAGATTATTCTAGAAATTAAAAAAGAACTGTATGACCCAGCAATCCAACTTCTGGGTATATATACAAGGGAAACAAAATCATTATTTCTTTTTTTATTATTATTATTTATGCCTATAGCACATGGTCTTCCTAAGTGGTCTCTCATCCAAGTAATAACCAGGCCCAAACCTGCTTAGCTTCCGAGATCAGACATCTAGCTCGTTTAGGGTGGCACTGCCATAGACCATGGACTGTGGCTTCACTGGGGTGTGGACTCAGGACCTTCTGCGTGTAAAGCTGATGTGCTAACCACCACACTATGGAACCACGTCCCATAAATCATTATTTCAAAGACATATCTGTACTCCCGTGTTCACTGCAGCATTATTCACAATAGCCAAGGTCTGGAAACAGCCTAAGTGTTCATCAGTGGATGAATGGATAAAGAAAACGTTGTAGATATATATGGTAGATTATTATTCAACCTTAAAAGAGGAGGAAATTCTGTTCTTTGCCACAACATGGGTGAATCTGGAGAGCATTATGCTAAGTGAAATAAGCCAGACAGAGAAAGATAAATATGGCATGGTATCAATTACATGTGGAATTAAAAAAAAAAAAAAAAACAGTTCAACTCATGGAAAGAGTAGAAAAGTGGTCACCAGGGACTGGGGGTAGGTAAAATATGGAGAGATTGGTAAAAAGGTATAAACTTCTGTATAAGGTGTGAGTCTCTAATGTATAACATGATGACTATAGTTAATAATACTGTATTGTATTATTGAAATTTACTAAAAGACTACAACTTAAATGTTCTTACCAAAAAAAAAAAAAAAAAAGGGGGGGGACAAACGTGAGGTGATGGATTGGATGTGTTAATTAACTTGATGGGAGGAATTCTTTCACAATATATACATATATTGAATCGTCATGTTGTACACTTAAATATCTTACAATTTTATTTGTCAGTTATATTTCAATAAGGCTGAAAAGAAAAGACTACAACTTAAATGTTCTTACCAAAAAAAAAAAAAAAAAAGGGGGGGGACAAACGTGAGGTGATGGATTGGATGTGTTAATTAACTTGATGGGAGGAATTCTTTCACAATATATACATATATTGAATCGTCATGTTGTACACTTAAATATCTTACAATTTTATTTGTCAATTATATTTCAATAAGGCTGAAAAAATAAAAGAAGTGGAATACTTACAATACTGTATTATGTGATACTTAGAATATTAGACTTTTTAAAGCATTAATGCAACTTAGGATGCATTTCTTACATTTTTATATTTAAGGTTCTCATTTCTGCATACTTGGAATAGACATTTCTTATATTTTGAAAACTTGTCTTAATTCATGATATTGTTTGCTTTGCTTCTTAGGTACCAGCAAAAGCCAAACGTCTTACTCAACAACTTCCTTACCACCACCTCCACCACCCCATCCGGCCAGCCAGCCACCACTGCCAGCATCTCACCCAACACAACCACCAGTCCCAAGTCTACCTCCCAGAAACATTAAACCTCCCTTAGATCTAAAGTAAGCAAAATATTATCTTATCATTTCTTTGTCAGTCTGTCATAGATTTTCAAACTATGCTTAGCTAAGTGTTGAGAGTTCCAAGGTAAACTGCTGGGACCACAAAGGTGGCAGGATGAAAGGATGTCTGAGCAGTCTGTTTTTACCTCAACCCCCCATCCCCTTGAGCAACTCCTATTTATTTGTTTTTAGAGTATTTATCTGTTTTTAGAACACTTTCCCATTAGCATTCATTTGAAGAAAATTTCCACTGTTCTGAAGCATTCTTTAGGTCAGTACCACCACCATCTCTTTCACCACCATCATCACTGTCACTGCCACCAGTATCATTATCATCATCACTATCATCACGGCCACCATCACCACCACCACTACTACCATATTTTACTGACTGCCTATGATGTGCTAGGCACTTTACATATGTAATCCCTATAATCTTATCAAATGGGTAGTGTTATCATCATTTCATAGATGAGGAGATGAAATTTTACAGAGGCTAAGTAAATACTTTGAGATTAGACAAGAATGTAGAGTAGAAATTTGGCAGTCTGAGTCCACAGTAAATATGTGCTTTTAACCACTCTGCTAAATAACCTCCTTTAAGTTTTTTTTTTAAATGCAGGTTTTCTCTCCTCCTTCAGATTTTTGACTGCATTTTAAAAACCTAGGAAACTTTTATTGAAGCCTATTCTTGCTTAAATTTTCTTAGATGATACTGTTTAGAATGTCAAAACTATATGGTTTACCATGCATGGGCTCTTTAATCATGATTTACCAGAATAGCTGGTTGAGGAAAAAGCAAGTGGGAGATTGAAATGGAATGCAATGTTTTAAGAAGAAATAGTCAAACAATGGCAAGCATAGATCCTTATGGCAAGTCAAGCTAGATTTTTCCCTTTCTTCTAGAAAATTGCTTTACATGATTCTCCTTTAACACAAATAAGTAATATCCCCAAATATTTAGCTACAACTTATTTTTTCTTCATTTCAATCTCCTACCAGATTGATGTTATTTGTGCTTAAAGTATTTAATATTCATAATCCATATGATAGACTCTGTTAATAATAGTATCTGATTGACAGCTTTCCTCAATTGCTGATGATGACAATTCAGAGCAGAGTTTGAAATCACATTAGCCATGGGCAGCCTCCACTATGTTTCACTTTATTATGCTTTTGGAGGATTTAAAGGCAGTAACCAGAAGGTATTAGTGCAGCTTAGTGGCTGTTATCTTCTATGTGGCTTGCATTGTGCATTTATGTTAACTGCATATATTTCCAAGCATTTGTGTTTATAAATTCTAATTTAAAATCTCTAATACTCCATGAAATCCAGCTACCAAATAAGAATGTAAGCCATCTAACATATGACATCTAACATATAAGTGCTAAATAAGTATTAGTTTAATTAGAATAACTAATTAATATGTGTTCTTAAATACACCTGATTTCTGTGTAAATTATTTTCCCTTTACATGTAGTAAATCCTGTTTCTTTTTCCTAATTTCTTTCCTACTTTAATAAATTTAACCCACTAGATTTTAAACTTAGTACCTTTGAATTTTATTATGTAATTGTATCCCAGGTACTGGCTATAGTCAGGCTTCTGGATCTTGTGTAATTTCAGTGAGAAATTTAAATAAATACCCAGAGCATGAATTCCTGAACATTTATAAGACATGACAACTGGTACGTAATTGTTTGATGAAAAAAATGTG